TCTGGATAATCAAATAAAACCTACTTGAAACTAGGGTTTCCAGCGAACGAAAACTTTCGCGAAAAAATGTGAACAAATGCGAAAATATTTGTTTGTATGTAGCAGACTTTTTTGAAAAATTTCGCATAAGTTTTTTAACTTCAACAATTAGTTGGGCAAAAAACTTCTGGAATTCTCTGCTCTGAGAGCTCAACATAAGAAGTTTTACTATATCATAATTAATAAGTTCTCTGCCGTATTTTCGCATTAGGTTTTCCTAAAAAAAATTCTCATTTGATTTTGCGAAATGTTCGCATTTCTATGTCAAGCAAATGTTGGAGTTTTTCGTAAAACAGATTACAGCGAAATTTTGGGCTTTTCGCAAACGAACGAAATGCGACAAATTCGAAATTTTCTGCGAAAATATTTTTTCGGGAAAAATGCGAAATTTTTGCGAAATAGATTAAACCGAAATTTTGCGCTTTTCGCAAACGAACGAAATGCGATAAAATTCGAAATTTTCTGCGAAAATTCTTTTTCGAAAAAATGCGAAATTTTTGCGAAACATTTTCCCTTCCTGGCTGAAAACCCTACTTGAAACACTTGACCAAGATGGGCACTTGACCTGTTATCTTCATAGATCTTTTAATTGAATTTTGTAAAACTTTTCAAATTGAACACTTTTTTTCATTCTCAGGTCAGGACAGAGCAAACAAAGATTTAACATAAAGTTTAAAATTTACTTTCAAATTTCATATTTGCTTAAATGTTCTTAAATATATAAGGCTTGTGTGCAAAGTGCTGGCTAAGCGCAATTTTCAAATTCAAATATTCAAACAGTCTTCTTATCAATCAGGAGAATATAAAATGCAAAAGGTTACGTTGACATTTTTGGATTAGCTGATTTAAAAATAAAGTATAAAAGGTAAAAAGGCAAGGTTATAAAAAAGATAATCAAAATCAAATATTTACAACTACTAGAAGTAATTTTTCTTTTGCTGAGTAATAACGAGTCTATATGAGCTTATAAATATTCACTGTACAGTACTGTATTGTAAAGCATGGTGGATTTCGTATTGCAAATACGACTTTTGAAGATAGTTTGTTGGTTCCATGAACCAAACTGCAAGAAGGATCCTTTATTGATAATATAAAACTATAATACTAAACTTGTAAATATAAAAGTCAGATGAAGAATAATTAGACTACTTAAAGTGAGTTAGATTAGTTCTATACATTAAAAGTTCTCATCTCTCAATGTAATCAATTAAAAGATACTGAGTTTTTGTCATAAAAGAAAATTTTATATGAATAATTATTTTTTAAACCTAAAGGTCCAGTTCTTTAATAGTTCAAACTTAGACTTTTTGATCTAACATAATCCATGGTTTGAAATATTAAATAGCTACGATAGCAAAGATATGGGAATAAAAAAATCAGATTTTGCGGAAAAAAGTGTTGTCAAGAACATGGAACAATAAAAACATTCTCTTCTTTACTTTCCTTTTTCTAAGATGAGTATTGAGGAAAATTCTCTCCTCAGCATTCTCCTTAGCAGCGGGTTCTGTTCTCTCCTCAGCATTCTCCTTCCCTCCTAGTTTGTCGGAACCCTGGAAGAGTAGTTCGAGATAAACATCGAGTTCCTCATTAAAAGTGCATCACCTCGATGCTGGGGGGACCGATGTGGAGTACCGATAATGTTGCCTTTCAGTCTGGAAGCTCATCTATTTCATAAACCTAATCAAGGGTTCTGTTGTGACATTTTAAGATTTTATTTTATTTTTCAAAACTAATCTTGCGGAAATAAACATATGAGATATGTATTCAATTCGAGTTTGATCATGGTTAATAAGATAAGAATGCTGATTAGGAATTTTTTCTTTACTTATGTTTATTTGTGGATGCATTAAATTAATGACTGTACATATCTTGATATTAATATTGAACATCATAACTTCTATATTCAGCCAAGGATAAGAGCTAATTAACTAGAACTTGCCAAATCATTCAATAATAACAACTACAAAACATCCAGTCAAGAAAAATGAAGCAGAATATTACAGAAGCGTTACATGGGGGCTATGGAGGCTATGGGGGTTATGGGGGCTATGGAAGTTGACCCCCTATCGAAAATTGTATAGTTTACAGGGGAAACTCAGAAGCTAACCCCCACTGCGCCGCTGGAAAGCTATATTTTAAGCACCCTCCCCCCCCCACCCATGGAAAAATTCCTGCATATGCGGCCCCCTAGCTTTAGGCCTTCAACCCTGCAAACATATCCCTTGTTTGAATTTATGGTTTTAAATGAGAGGAACTCATTACTCGCCACAAACATCTTAATCTGTATGTCTTTATAGTCTTCATATTTCAAACTATACATTCTGCCAGATCAAATAGTCAAAGTTAGAAATATCAAAGTTTACAATGTCAGGTTGCAAAGATAAAAAATCACTAAATTAATAATTTCAAAGCTAAAAATCCTCTGAATTTCAGCTCCCCCAAGAAAACAAACAAATAACGTGATAAAATCAAAACTTGAAATTCTAAATAGTAAACCATGCCAGAACCTGAACTATAATTAATTGCCTAGCACCCTAATTAATAGGATTAAGCGGGGGATTAGGGGAAACATAACATGCATTATCTTGGAGAATATTCGTGACTGGTCTGAATTAATATGTTATTGGCTGGTAATCAATTTACTTAAATACGCACCTAGAGAGGGCGGGGGGAGGGGGAATTCGGCTTTATAAAATGCCTTTTTAAGGTTTAATTTTTTTCTTTGAAATATTTCATGCACGTATTTTCAGATGCACGTGCAATAGATAAATTGAAACAAGATCTTATTGCATCCAGAATGTGCTTTACAATGGTTTNTTTATGAATCCAATTCTAAGTGAACCTTGATTAAAAGAGTTGCATTTAAAAAGAGCCTCAATATAAAATTATCAATTTTCGGAGAGAAATACAAGGATAACTTCAAATAAAGAGACACTAGAACTTAGATTGACAGTCCCTTGAAACCTCTTGTATTTTCGTGATTATTTCCCTTTATTGCGGTGCCCCTGATTCCCCTGATACCAGTAGAAAAGATGAGAGGGGAAATTTATCACAAAATGCACTTTTCCCCCAACCAGAAATCAAGGAAAATATTCTGATTACAAAATGAGAAAATTGGAAATATCTTTGATCATAAAATTTGATTCCTAGTTTTTATCAAACTTATATAAAAAAGTAGGATTATAACTATTTGAGGAGGGGAGGGGGTTTTTAACTCTCTTTTTTTCCGCTTATATACACAACGTTAAAACACTGGTCTTTGTAAAACGCTACTTTTAAAGCGTAAAAACTTATCTTACGCGATTTCTGCAATGTCACTTTGAACACTCTGTATAAAAGTTCTTGAAATTATATCGATAATTCAAAAATTCAGAGAGGGAGGGTGCAGGGGATCAACGAGCCAATGAAGCCCCTGAAAACAATTTTATTTTTAAATTTCCAATCAGTTCTATTGTAGTTAAAAGTATAAGTTCTCCTACTGTCTCTAGTAGCGCCGGACAGACTGGCATGCAACTTCACTTTTTCCTCTTAATTATCAAACTTTAATATAGACCTAGAGAAAACTATATTTATCAATTTTACTGTATTTTAACAATTTACCATCTTTTTACAAGTTAAAAAATGGCAGCCCGTGATTTAAAATCTTGACGAATGTTGCAGGATATCCAGTGCAGTGTTACCAACAAAGGGTGAAACTGTAAAGAGGACCTTAGAATTATGTGATATGGCGATCCCTAGGTTACAATAAGTCTTCTGCCTTGAATACTGCAGTCTTTAAATGGCCTATTCAATGATTTGGCAATAGGGTTTCCAGTCGTAATTTCGTTACGCGTAATTACGCGTAACGAAACGTAACACTTTCTTTCACTTACGCAGGAGCATTACGCGTAAAGCGAAATTACGTTGTAGAAATTACGCGAAATTACGCCGTAATTTCGCGAAATGGATATTTCCCCAATTACGCGTAATCCTGTGAAATTACACGAAATGAAAATTTTTACGCGTAACTGCACGTAATTACGCGTAAGAGAATAATCTATTACGTTGGAAACCCTATTTGGCAAATACAGTAACGAGTTTTCAATTGCAGAGAATCGTGACTATGATAAGTCGACAGTATAAAGTATAAAGTATAAAGTATAAAGTATAAAGTATAAAGTATAAAGTATAAAGTATAAAGTATGAAGTATAAAGTGTAAAGTATAAAGTATAAAGTATAAATTACCTAAGTTGTCTTTTAAGTCTTATTCTTTTTGTGGTAATCTTGTATGCTAAAATATGTAGGAACATTTTCCGATTAAATTAAAAACTTGAAGGGACAGTAAAGGAAAAATGAAAGGGGGTATAGACTGAAAGCTAATCACTTTAGCTCTTGATCTCGACCCATAAAAGTTATATCTGATGTTCCTATCTCGAGAAATTGATATAAAACTGTGTCAAATCTATACGAAAATTAATATATATACAATTTTGTATAAAAGTAGTAGGTTTAAACAGATCATATTCAGCAAATAAGCAACCAATCTGAAAACGATGATATCCCAGAGAAAGCTAATTGTAATTTAGGTTTGCTTTTATATTTGTTGTTTCTATTTTCAATAGATTTCATTCATAATATTATTTTTACGTCCGTATTACTTGACCAGAAATTCCACCAATGGCAGTGCAGTAAAGTGGTTACGTGATACAGGCGGAGACACGTGACCAGTATACTGCTCTGCCATTGGTGATAGTACTGGTCACGTGATTTAAGTTTCAGATTTCAAAATTTTACATATATGAATTAATTGTTATAATTTTAACACAGTTTTATATCAATTTCTTGAGACATGAACATCAGATATGACTTTCATGGGTCGCGATCAAGAGCTAAAGTGATTAGCTTTCAGCCTATACCCCCTTTCATTTTTCCTTTACTGTCCCTTTAATTGAATTGAATTTGTATTTGTTTCCACTTCCAGGATGGTTTGACCGGTATGCCCCGCCTCGTGGTGAGTGTGCTGGTGCTGCTAGCTGGGTTGACAGGGACCGGGCACAGTCAGTACCAGCTGGTCAGAGAGGATCCATTTGCTCAGCTGTCGGGCAGTCTGCAGACTAGACAGGCAGCAGCTTGTGATGGAGAAATTCTGGGATTGGATTGTCCCCATGGAAGCAAGGTAAACTTTGTTGTAAAGGGAGAGACCGCCTATTTAACAAATATGAGCTGAAAGTGCAGAATATTTTAGAGAAAACTTTAGGATTCATTTAATTATTAAACAATTGTAAAAAACGTTTCTTTTGCTGACTGAAACAAGTGGTGAAATATTACAAACGTTTTTACGCTCTTATTTAAAAATTATACACCGTAAAAATGTTTCATTGGTATTAAATGAATCCTAAAGATTTTCTCTACAATACTGCTCTTTCAGCTCAAATATGTTACATAGTCGGTCTCTCCCTTTAAAATAAAATTTTAAATTAAAGGTGAATTCAAATTCAAAATTGTACTCCTTAAACCTTTATGAAAGTTTTATTTATGAAATTATTTGATTTTTTTTATGAAATCTGATCACTTACAAGCTGTAGGGTGTAGTTTACAGATACAACCAATAATTAGGGTGAAAAAAAAATAAAATTGCTTAAAAGTGACACTTTGTAAAAAAAGTTTAATATTGGACAATGTTTTAATTGAAAACTACAAAGATAGTTTGACACAACTCCATGAATAATTTAACATACAAACCATCAAGTACCAGTATTCAACATACCCAAAACATGATTAAACTTGAATTTTTTGTACTTCTCTTGATAAAGTTTAAAGGAGAAGTGGAAGGAGGGGGTAAAATTAAGATATAACTCTAAGAGTAAAGTTTGAAAAAGACAACACAAGGAAGTCATCTTTGAATTGAAGTACAAAATGTGTATCAAATTTCAGAAGGTACACCAATCACACCGGACTAACCAGAGTGAGCAGCATTCGGTTTCTTCTTTTTGAAATCAATCGTGTTTTGGTCTTTAATTCAATAATCATTTACTTTACGGATTTGTTTATTTTATACATTTTTATTCAAAATGCATAGGCCAACAAAACAGTATTTAAGAAAAAAGGCTAACAAATTATGTTTAATGGATCAAATTGTGATCGAAAGTCACAGCTTTCTGGAATATTGACAGAACCATTAAATTCACGTGCAATCCTATATAGCAGCTATCAAAGATCATTAAGCCACATTTTTATCACCTTTTTTGTGTAAAAATAAATTTTAACCAAAATGACGTCAATTTAACCGCGATTTAAATTAAGTGATCAGGCGAAGTTGTATTGAGAAAAATAAAAGAACAATTTAAAAGAATTTCTTTGCGCAATAATTTTATTTTTTTTGTCGCCAGCAGGACCAGAAAAATATTAATTAGTAGATATAGATCAATGAATCAAGAAGTGTCTCAACTTTAGTCTTTAGAACAATAAAGGTGATTTCTGGGTTTGTAAGCAGAACCGCAAAAGAATTTTCTTCTTCTCTTTTTATTTTGTAGACAAAATAATCATAAGCAGCCCACACTATAACTAGTTTGTAAATTGTGAGAGTCTTAAAAATTATTATAATTATATATCTAATATTTATCTATATTATGCTTTGCACTCAAAACATCTTTTTCTTTCCTTATATTGCCGTTTCTCAATATTCTTGATCACCCCTCCCCTCATTGAAAATTGTGGAAGTACGTGGAAGGATGTAAGGGTGGGAGGGGGTCTGGGGGGGGTAATGAGATTATGATAATTTTCTCAAAGGATAGAAGAAAAGTAAAAGAATTATATCTAGGGAGGAGGGGAGAGGTATTAGAGACTGAAGGGGGAGAAATAACTTTGATGTTGGAAAAAGGAAGATAGTAACATAGACAGGAACATATTAACTTTTAGAAATTCAAGTTACTAGGCGTCAGCGTTTAGGGCGCTTTCAACAGTTGCCTACCGCCCTCAGAAGAGAATGAACTCTCTCACAAACATACAAGCAAAGTTTATACAGGGTGTCCATTAAACTACCTTTAAGACATTTGAGCACTCACTGTGGTTAAATTTTAAAAAAGTGTACAATTTTGAAATCTTTATATCATTCCGATCGATTGATACCTTAACTAGAGGTATGTAGCACTAAAATTATGGAAGTTTTGACCGTTTGAAGTTTGCCATTTTGGCATTGTTGAAAATCCAAGTAGAAAACTGTATCCTTCCAGGTAAATCTTCAGGTTTAAGTTCCTCCCTTCTGATTGGCCAATATGGGTTATATTTCAAATCAGTTGCTATCCTTAACCAGCCATGAGAGGTATGTGGCACTAAAATTGAGGAAGTTTTGACCATTTAAAAATTGTCATTTTGGCTTGGTTGAGTTCATGAATTATTTTTTTAGAATTTTAAACATATTTTAAATTTTATTAGTGCCTGAAAAACATGTAAATCTTTTAAACAAATTTTAAAAATGCAGTTATTGTTGAATAATAGAAAGACCTCAGTTTACAACGGAGGTAAGTAAATTCCTTGCTTTTGAGTACCACTAAAGAAAGGGTCACATAATATCCCAATGCAAGACAGCCTGCTTTATGTCATGAAAGAAGAATTTATAAAAAGGTAATGGAGTATGGGACAGTACTCAATTTGAATAGTTAGACGAGTCCTATGCATAGAAATTCATCAAGAGGAAGATCTTGACATGACATAACTCCTAGAAATGTTGCCAGGGTTGCTGCAGTAATGATGAACAGAGATGCTGTCAAGCACATTGGAGCTAGAAATACTTCTCCTGTGAGTTCTGCAAGGGGAATCTCTTTGATGTTAATCAAGTCCAACTGGTAAAGGATATCAACTGATTTGAAATATAACCCATATTGGCCAGTCAGAAGGGAGGAACTTAAAGGGAGTGAACAGCTATGTAAGGTAGTTGAACTGAGTGTGCAGTTTTGTGGAAAACTTCTTTCGGATTCATTTGAGACATATTAAACATTTTAAAGATCTGTAATCCTGAGTTTGAGCGCAAATTCGACGTTCAAAACTCCTACTTTGGGGGTGGATATGTTTTCAGAATTAGTTTTTTTTTAAATTATTAAATAAAGATCGTTTTTTTGACACCCTGTATATAACATGGGGCTGTTCGATTAAGGAAGTTTAAAGAGAGGAAAAAATAAGACAAAATACCTTAAGAATGAAAAAGTCGATTTAGTGAAGGTTTTAGTTTAATACTAAAGAAAAGTTGGTTTTCCATTCAGCTGATTGCTGAGTTCTAAAAATGTTTGAATGCTTAGAAATAATCTAAATAGAAATTTTGTTTTCATCATCGCTATTAGAACTTTAATAAATGTTATGAAAGTGAACATTGAATGAAATGTCAACGTGATTGAAAACCTTCTCATTTAAGAGACTAAAGTCGTGATTTTAAGTAACCCTCCATTTTTAACGCGGCATGTCCAATTCACGACGGTTTAACGCGGCATGTCCAATTCACGACGGTAGCCTTCATTAAAAGCATTTTCTGATCAAGTATAAGTTAGATATCAATGTTTATTATTTTGAAAACTAATTATTTTCGATTGAGGTTTCTCTACAAAAGTTATCTTTGCATTCTGCTGCATGCAAACAATGTAGGAAGTATTAGAATTATACACTTAATTAATTTATCTCTCACATTATTGATCAGGATTACCTTGAAATAGAGCGTCACTTGAAATTACGATGAATTATAGATAGATGTTAAAAAATTGTTTGGATGATACTTAAAACCATTCTTTAGATCAAGTGGCATAAAAAATTATATCTATCCCATCTATAAAAAGTTTTGTTTAGATCGGTATACAGATATTCCAGTATGGGCGAAGTGCTCCGACTAGCTTGGTGTGCCCCCCTACTCCTCAGCTCCCTCAACACTTCGCAGAGAGTAAACCATGCTCAGTTAATCAGGTACCAACGACATCCTTAGAAGTTTCACTGTTTTTGTCCTAAGATTTTCCGTTTTCTGTTCCGTGTTCTGCCGGACCAGTGTAGCACCTCTAAATGTACATTGTACGTATTTGTTAGATTATGCACAAGCACAGTATACCGAAATATATTTTTAATATATGTGGAACTAACATCTACTTTTTTTTACTCTATAGAGGTTTGGTCCATCACCATCACCGAATTTAAAATAAGAAAAAAAATATTTTTAAAGTGTGGTCTGCCAGATTTCTCAAAGGATTTGTTTGTTCATTCATTCAGTGTCCTCCGCATATATCTTAGAACTTATAATTTGATTTACGAATTATTTGATAAAACTCTTTACAAGGTGTTTAGACAACCCTGAAACCCTGAACCCCTGAAACCGTCAGATCAAAAGAGTTTGAGGTCGTCGTTAATGTCTCATCCTTTCTGAATAAGCAAGAGTATTTCATAACAAATAACATCGCATTCCTTTTCTTCTGCTCAGCGAATATTATTTTATGATAAAAATGTAAAATATTTTCTTTTTTCTTTTTCTTTTGTTTCCCCGATTCTTGGGGAACAAATGATATCAAATTACTGATTAAATTATATTCTTTACATCTATATATTTTATCAATACTTCCAACAAATTTAATCAGGTATATCTACAATATACATACGACAGAAAATATAATTTTGGTAAATGGATGAAATAATAGTGCTCATTCCCTTAATTTGAATAATATTTAGTGCTCAGTCCCTTGATTTCAATAATATTTAGTGCTCATTCCCTTGATTTCAATAATATTTAGTGCTCGGTCCCTTGATTTCAATAATATTTAGTGCTCATTCCCTTGATTTCAATAATATTTAGTGCTCATTCCCTTAATTTCAATAATATTTAGTGCTCATTCCCTTAATTTCAATAATATTTAGTGCTCATTCCCTTGATTTCAATAATATTTAGTGCTCGGTCCCTTGATTTCAATAATATTTAGTGCTCATTCCCTTAATTTCAATAATATTTAGTGCTCATTCCCTTGATTTCAATAATATTTAGTGCTCATTCCCTTAATTTCAATAATATTTAGGGCTCATTCCCTTAATTTCAATAATATTTAGTGCTCATTCCCTTAATTTCAATAATATTTAGTGCTCATTCCCTTGATTTCAATAATATTTAGTGCTCGGTCCCTTAATTTCAATAATATTTATTGTAACAAAGTTTTGGAACTACAGAGTAGAGTGGGGAGGTAATTTTATAGAAACAATAAATCTTTGACAATTTGTTTTGTTGCCGTGGGATTCATTTCATAATTCAATTCAAACCAAACCAAATATATCAAACTAAACCAACACAACTCAAACCAAACCAACCAAAGTCAAACCAAACCAACCCTATCCAAACCAAACCACACTATTCCCGAACCAACCAAACCAATGCAAACCAAACTAAACTCGACCAATCCAAACCAATCCAAACCTAACTAATTAAACCCAAATCAAACCAAACAAATGAAAACAAATTAAACCAATCCAAACCAATTCAAAGTAATCCAAACCTAACTAATTAAACCCTAATCAAACCAAACAAATAAAAACAAATTAAACCAATCTAATTCAGTGCAAACCAAACTAACCCCTACTTAACACAACCAAGCCAAACCAAACACTCTAAACGATTCAGAATCAAACTAATCCAGACCAAAACCAAACCAACTAAACTAATCCAGACCAAAACCAAACCAACTAAACTAATCCAGACCAAAACCAAACCAACTAAACTAATCCAGTCCCAAACCAAACCAACTAAACTAATCCAGACCCAAACCAAACCAACTAAACTAATCCAGACCAAAACCAAACCAACTAAACTAATCCAGACCAAAACCAAACCAACTAAAACGATCCAATCCAAAAAATACCAAACCAACTTTAACCAACCCACACCTATTCAAACCAAAATAAACCATATCATACCAATATTTTAATGAATTTGAAGAAACGAGAAGAAATGCAATTATAAAGTTTTTAATTTACATGATTGATTTCATATCTTTTAGTTTGCCAGATAATTTATTAATTAAAAAATCATTCTGATGATCTATCAATTTGTAAAACTTCTTTTATTAAGAATTTTCTCAAAATGCATTCTTTCTTTAGAATACAATTTTGAAATTTAATTTTTGAATAGGATATATGGTGAGTAGCAGAATTTCTTTCTTTAAATCAGAGAAAAAACATTTCCCATTTTTCTTGAGCCCAGAACAAGTAATTTTAATGAAACCCTAATTCTCTTTTCAGTTGAAAGAATTGTAAATATTATTTTAATTTCCGATTTCCAAGGATACTCTAAACACTTTTATCTGAAAATTAACAAGGAAGATTATCGTCCCTAATTAACAGTGTTGAATTCTGTAAATTCACTTCCTTGTCTATGCAACTTAATAGAGAAACATCAACTCTGAATGATCAATTTTGAAAAAGAAACTAGGATATCTGCATTCTCATTGCTCAGATAAAATAGATTTAAGAGTAATATTGTGAATCGTTCATGGAACTTTTTAACAAAGGGTTATTTAAAATAACGTCGCCAGTCCCTTTAAAGTGGTTTCTGATAATCATTAATAAAAGGTTTAATTGACCTTTTAATTTCAAAATACCAGATCGAATATTGACAAATAAAACCAAAGTGAATTGCAATTTCTTTTCTATTTTATTAAACGGCACTTGTAAATTTGCGAGTATTTAGTTTGCAAATATTCAATATCAATGCAAACAATTCATTTTAAATTCAGCTTGCATTCAATGCCAACAATGAAAAACTAGTGCATGCAGAAAATGGAAATTGAAAACTGAACTCCAGTCTCAATATAGAACAGTGAACATCAAACTCCGGTTCCAATTTAGATCGGTGAACATTTAACTCCGGTCACAATATAGAACTATGAACATTAAACTCCAGTCCCAATATAGAACAGTAAACATTAAACTCCGGTTCCAATATAGAACAGTGAACATTAAACTCCGGTCCCAATATAGAACAGTGAACATTAAACTCCGGTACCCAATCTAAAAACAGTGAACATTAAACTCTGGTCCCAATATAGAACAGTGATCATTAAACTCCTGTTCCAATATAGAACAGTGAACATTAAACTCCGGTCCTAAAATAGGACAGTGAACATTAAACTCCGGTTCCAATATAGAACAGTGAACATTAAACTCCGGTACCCAATCTAAAAACAGTGAACATTAAACTCTGGTCCCAATATAGAACAGTGAACATTAAACTCCAGTCCCAATATAGAACAGTGAACATTAAACTTCGGTCACAAAATAGGACAGTGAACATCAAACTCCGCTCCCAATATAGAACAGTGAACATTAAACTCCGGTCCAAATATAGAACAGTGAACATTAAACTCTGGTCCCAAAATAGGACAGTGAACATTAAACTCCGGTCCCAATCTAGAACAGTGAGCATTAAACTCCGGTTCCAATATAGAACAGTGAACATTAAACTCCGGTCGCAATATTTCAGTGAACATTAAACCCTGGTCCCAAAATAGGACAGTGAACATTAATTTCCGGTCCAAATATTACAGTGAACATTAAACTCCGGTACCAATAAAGAACAGTGAACATTAAACTCCGGTCCCAATATAGAACAGTGAACATTAAACTTCGGTCCCAATATTTCAGTGAACAATAAACTCCGGTTCCAATAAAGAACAGTGAACATTAAACTCCGGTCCCAATATAGAACAGTGAACATTAAACTCCGGTCCCAATATAGAACAGTGAACATCAAACTCCGGTTAGGACAGTGAACATCAAACTCCGGTCCCAATAAAGAACAGTGAACATTAAACTCAGGTCCCAATATAGAACAGTGAACATTAAACTCGTCCCAATATAGAACAGTGAACATTAAACTTCGGTCACAAAATAGGACAGTGAACATCAAACTCCGGTCCTAATATAGAACAGTGAACATTAAACTCCGGTCCCAATATAGAACAGTGAACATTAAACTCCGGTCCCAAAATAGGACAGTGAACAATAAGCTCAAACATGTTACTAATAAAATATAATCAACAATTCTATTTTAAACAAAACTTGTATTTAACAAAAATAAATTATTTTTGAATTGTATTATGGAGGGGTCACGAATTTTGAACTACTTAACTTGGTGAATAAGATGATGAATCAGCTTAACTTCTCTGTAATTGTAATTAATAAACGTTAAAAACAATTAATCCGATTGCAGTAACGTACTTGTATGACCCCAGGGAAGGTTTTGCATAGAAGAACATTTTGATTTGTCTAAAGTTTTAAACAGAACAGTTCTCAAAATGGTAATTTTTTAAAATAAGATAAAGCGACGCGAAGCAGGCCTGGTTTCATTAGAAAAATAAGGAATTACATAAATATTTAATAAAGATACTTTTTGTCCTGCTAAATAAATTGGTAGTGTTGATTTAAAAAAAGTTAAAGGAAAAGTTTTTGTCACAAATTTTGATTTTCTAATCTTTATAATCTTTGCAAACTGCAAAATCTGATGTTTGCAAACTATTCTTTACACCATCAGGTTATTACAAACTGTCAATATTTGATCTAAACAAATTACTAGTTTAAAATATGAAAGGTCTCCGACATTGAATTGCAAAGATATAGGGATTAGAAAATCAGAGTTTGTGGCAAAAACTCCTTTCGCAGATTTGGTTAGAAGACTCACGACTCTCAAATAATTGCGTGAGAGTTCTTTTTCTATCAATATAGTTAAAAAACTCTTCCTTCAGTCATCCAGACCTTATATTCAATGTGTCACTTGTTATCATTAGAATTGAAATAACAGGAAATTAAAACCGACACCCGACGTGGGGGAAATTGCGAATGCAAGGACTCTTCTGAATAGTCTGAAAAATAATAAAATGAAACTTCATTAATTAAGATGTTTGTCAGGGGTTGAGGAAATAGGATGGAAGTTGAAAAGAGTATTAACCATTCATTAGGTTTTACAAAATTCAATTTGTGCTTTTTAGGCAATCATGATGGCCGAGGAGATGTGTCAGGGTAAACAGTCCTGCAGTATAGATACAGGGTTCAATATTCTCTCTCCAGGTTCTCTAGACCCTTGTCCTGGAGTCAGGTATAGATACAGGGTTCAATATTCTCTCTCCAGGTTCTCTAGACCCTTGTCCTGGAGTCAGGTACAGATACAGGGTTCAATATTCTCTCTACAGGTTCTCTAGACCCTAGACTGAGAGTAAAACTAAACAGACCACGCGGAACCAAATTGTTTTAAGTATGTCTTAGAGTAAGGTAAATAGACCACGCGGATTCGACTAGATCTAAGAATGCCCTAGAGTAAGATAAACAGACATATGCGGAAACAACTAGATCCAGGTATGTCCTAGATTAATGTTAGCAAACCACGCGGATTTGAATAGATCTAAGTATGTGCAGAATTGTAGAACTGTGGAACTGTAAAACTGTAGAACTGTAGAACTGTAGAACTGTAGAACTGTAGAAATGCAACTGTAGAACTGTAGAACTGTAGAACTGTAGAACTGTAGAACTGTAGAACTGTAGAACTGTAGAACTGTAGAACTGTAGAACTGTAGAACTGTTGAACTGTTGAACTGTTGAACTGTAGAACTGTTGAATTGTTGAACTGTTGAACTGTAGAACTGCAGAACTGTAGAACTGTAGAACAGTAGAACTGTAGAACTGTAGAACTGTAGAACTATTAAGATGAGAAAACTATTTCTAAGAATATTCTATTTATCGAATACCGTTAGCATACTAATATTCCTAATACTCTTTACACAAACACTTACTCATCTAATTACATTGTTAGCTCAACTATTCATGCATTTATATCTCAGGGCAGGATTTTATATGTATGTACATTGTACATACATATTGGGTTTGTAGGATAGATACAATTAATGTGTTGATTTAAAACAAAATCAGTCTGACGATGCAACACTCATTCAAATTGTCAGAAAAAAATTATAACTATAATTTTTTTGAAAATGATACGAACCGATTTTCAGCTTGTTCTGACATGGGCATTCCGGTCATAGATATAAACATTGCATAAACATATAAACAGTATGTTCGTTCACATTAGGGAAATAGTACGAAAGGATTATAGAAAAAGTCCTAAATTACCTTTAACAAATATGATAAAGTCAAGAAAATTGTTCAAAATCTGACAGGCTATAATTTCTCTGCAGGCTGCAGTTTAGATGATCAATGTCCTATCTATGAAAATGTCCCATCACGAAATGACTCCTATGAAATGTCCTTTAAAAAATATATCAAAAGCTTTTCTATATAAAGTCCGAACCATAGATAAAGATAGATTATAAGTCGACATTTTTCATCCTAAAAGATATAAATGTACAGAGATGTTTTAAAGATATTCCTATTATATACAGAGCGTCCCATATCTTATTAGATTATCTCCAATCTTTAACACCAAAATAAACCCTTAATACTTGAAAAACTTATCATTTTCCGCAAGAAAATTCTTATGGAAGCCTTATGTTATTTTTCAAAATGATTCATTCTAATGAAATTTTCTAATTAGTCCCGAAAATCGTAATTTAGACCCGTTCTCGGTCTAATATGATGTGGGACACCCTGTAGATTAACTAGGTCGATTTTGAACATTGGCTGTTATAATGTCATTGAGTACTTGTGGTGTACATGAGTTCTGTAGAGAGAAATTTAAGTTAGTTTAGTCCTTCTCATGTCCTTCTTCAGTTCTCGTCAATATGATATATTGCTCAGTAAAATATTGTTGTTCAAAACGTTCCATTCCCGGAGTTATTTTACACTCTATTATGAAATCCATTAAAACACCAAACCACCCCGCTTTTCATTGAAGTACACTTTGACCCCTAGAAGTATGAGTTCGAGGACTGTACAATTCTTGTTGATTTTGCGTACATAAGCTATCTATGTTTATTTATTTATCTATGGTCCTAACCCATGGACTAAAAGATTATCTATTCAGGAAGTACGCTGAAGTTGCATACAAGTGTAAACCTTCTTCCTTCCGGTCCCGGTCCGTCTGCGGAGGGGATAACATGACTCTCTCCTGTACCCAAACTGATCATAGGATTGCTATCCTCTCCGCTCTTTTCTCTTCCATTTCTTCAGGTTAAACCTTTAGTTAAACCTTTAATTACAGAATACATAGTTGGATACTTACAGTTAGTTTAAACAAGAACTTCGGAGATACCAAAAGAATTTATAAAATGTCGTTTTCTAAACCTACTGATAATGGAATGTTGCAGATATTTAGTTTTTTTAATGAATAATTATAATGAGATAAGGCTCTTAAAAACTGTTCCCACACATTTCATAGCTTTTTATTTATTTTAAAAAATATATTTAGTATTATAGTATACAACTCATTGACAAATTATCAAGACGACATTTCATAAATAAAGGATGAGACTCTAATGACGACATTTCATAAATAAAGGATGAGACTCTAATGACGACATTTCATAAATAAAGGATGAGACTCTAATGACGACGAGAAGCTTTTTAATTCTAGCGTTCTGTAAGTTAAACTTGGTCTTCAGCCTTTAATTATATTAAGTGATACGAAATCATTTTGGCAAAGAAAGCAAATGGTTTAAAGCTATTTGTAAGCATCAACGTGAGAAAAATAACTAAACTAATACTATACTCTGTCTCTGAAGCCTCATCCTTTGTGAGTAGTCAGTAGCCCTGTATAATGCAAAATAATACAGATACATGGCCCAAACAATGTTTAAAAATTGTTCTTTTTTCTATTCCATCTTTCCTTCATATAAATTTTGTTGAGTTTAATATTATCATTATTTGAAATGGTTTCAAGAATAAATCTAATATAAACCCTATTCTATCCAGGTCATATTTACTGTCCTTTGCTCCGTATACCTGGATACCAACAGGACTCCTTACCCCCATCATACTACAGCACAGCTGAACTAGATCTTTGCCAAACCAGTTCAGCCACTGAAACAGTTCTCAAACATTGTCATGGACAACCCAGCTGTACTCTACAAGCCGACCCTGTAGGGCTAGGGGTGCCTGCTTGTAATGATCTTCATGTTTATCTAAAGACGACATATGCTTGTGTCGACAGTATCGTCTTCCAACCTCAATATCTTGTGGCCAAAACTACAACAACGACAACTACTGAGAAAGTAAGAAATTAAAACCTGATAATTTCAAGTGATCTTCCATTTAAAGAAAGCAATGCCAGATTCCCTTGAGTACACTTGAAACCTAATCTGTTCAATCTGGAAAATATTGTTGTTTTTCTAACTTTCAAGTTTTTAAATTCTGATAGTGCCCATGTACTTTCCTGAGGAAGAACTTTAAGGGTGCCATTGTGAATCGGGAATTGCCATATTTGCGAGTTGGTCACTTGAAATTAAGCTTACAGTCTCTTTAATTATTTGCTTGTACTGCGCGTTTAATTTCTGAATATCGAAGAAAATACTTTTTAAAAACGGAGCCGTGCATTTCAATTTAAACTTAAAGTGAAAATATCCACTCTCACTTTTTTTACAACAAAGTGTGAATCAAAGTTTGAAATACGTTTTTTTTAAGACAAACAAGTGCTTTGTTTAGTTTTCATGGACTGAAGAATATTGTTTCAGCTCTAAATTATTATTCCAAATTCGGTTTTTTTAAAATATAAACAAATGTATTCCTTAAAAATCATCAATTTTGTTTCATATGACTACCGTTGAAACAAGAAACAGTAGAATCATTCTCCTCTTTTTTGTAAAAAAATCTAGCTGAAAAGCCCGGCGTTGCCGGTGGAAAAAAGAAATATAAATCTTTTTTTAATTCTTTAAAGAAAATAAAAAAATTTGAAAAAAATTGTTTTTTTAAGACTATGCCTCCCCCAGACTACCCATGAGTGTCCACAAAAAATGTCAGCCCATTTGGTCCAGCCGTTTGGCCGGCTATAGGGAACATCATTACAAATGTCTTGTTTTATTATAAAGATTTTGTTTTCAGTAACATTTTTTCAAAGAATGTACTCAAACAATTTCAGAAATATGAAGTGACAGCAAATCTTTATCTTAAAATCTTGGAAATTTTTTAATTTAAAAATGAACAATCATTCAATAGTTTTATGGTTACCACTGTCTCCTAGGATGAAATCATATTTACTGTTTCTTATTTTCAGACGACTTCGACTACCGGGGTAAAATTTGATCCTGAGATGATCAAACATGCCGAGTATGAGGAGAAGAAGGAGAAACTAACTCCTGATCCCCAGGAGATTGTCAAGGACGAACCCAGCTCCTTCGTAAAGAACAATCAGGAGAAAATTGTTATATCTCTAATCCTTGCTGTATCCCTGGGTCTGGTTGGAGTTATTCTTATCGTACTAGGACGGATATATAGATCATACAGGATACAGGTTTCTCTCTCCTCTAGTGTTCTCTCTACTCAGCACACAGACCTAGATACCCTGGAGTATGATATGATAGAATATGTTGATCCTCCGGACCCGGATCCCAAGATAGTTATTCCTCCGGAGACCTTTATGTATGGAACTCTCCGAGAGGTGAAACCCAAAGGAATTCTGAAAAACTCTCGAACCACGGACTGCATCCCAGGATCTCCAATGAGTGATATAGTTGTAACATACAGTGAAAAACATTTCCCAAGTTCCGGGTTGGGAGGGAGAGAAACCGGATCAATGAATACTCAAACCTTGAGCAGGAACCAAACCTTTAAGCATCAAGGTCCAAAGCTAAGTTCCTTCTCTGGTTCCAACCAGACAGTGGTTAAAGAAAGTCCAGGGTTTAAAACTTTAGAAAGTAAAGGGGAATGGTTCCCTGTGTCCCCGGATCACGGATCAACTCCAACTTTGGATTCTCCAGACCTAATTCTTAATAGCTCAGGGAACAAGTTGACGACAAGTTCTGAAAGTAGGGAACAACTCTTCATTCTATAGAATAATTTACAGTTCTTTTGTTTAATATTTAACTTGTGGTAAATGTCTTTTCCTCCGGTGTCAAGCCTTTCCTGCTCCTACGCACATATTTCTTTTAGTCCTTTTCCACAGCAGAATTCAGAGTTCAGAGGAACTTGGTAATTTCTATATCTTTGCAACCCGATTTCGTATACCTTTAATATTTCAAACTACAAGTTCTGTTAGTTTATATATTCTTATTTTGATATAACAAAGGTTTACATCGTCAGGTTGCAAAGATATATGGATTAGAAATATGAGTTTGTAAAAAGAACTCAGTTATTTTGTTTTACTATTCCTAATCCATTATACTCTACTCCTTGTTTCTATTCCTACTCCATTATACTCTACTTCTGGTTTCTATTCCTACTCCATTATACTCTACTCCTGGTTTCTATTCCTACCATTATACTCTACTTCTGGTTTCTATTCCTACTCCATTATACTCTACTCCTGGTTTCTATTCCTACTCCATTATACTCTACTTCTGGTTTCTATTTCTAATCCATTATACTCTACTCCTGGTTTCTATTCCTAATCCATTATACTCTACTTATGGTTTCTATTCCTACTCCATTATACTCCACTCCTGGTTTCTATTCCTAATCAATCATACCTTACTCCTGGTTCCTATTCCTACTCCATTATTCTCTACTTCTGGTTCCTATTCCCTACTTCATTATACTCTACTCCTGGTTCCTATTCCTTCACTGTTATTCTCTTCTTCTGGCTCCTATTCCAAATCAATTCTACTCGACTCTTGGTTCCTATTTCTAATCCATTATAATTTACTCCTGGTTCCTATGCCTACTTTATTCTCTACCCTGTTACTGGATCCTATTCCTTACATGTATCATGACCTTGCTCTTTTTTTGTTTTAATTCTACTTATCCTTACAACCTTAAAAATATTTTAAGAAATGTTTGTTCTCACCTTACCTTTGAAAACCATTGTAAACTGAATTTACTTTGTTCTATAGTCCATTATTCCTAAGTTGAATCCTCAAGTGTGGAGTATAGAGTTGAGAGGTCCTTTAACTTCTAGTGATTTTACACTCTCAGACAAATATTCAAAATATGCTCAGAACTAGGTTCGTCTGGTTGGGTTTACTCACAGATTACACAGTTAGGACACTAGTTGTCGTCTGGTTGGTTTTACTCACAGATTACACAGTTATGACACTAGTTGTCGTGGCGGCATTTGTTTTAATATTTTTTTTAAACCTTGTTTTTTTGTACTTATTACAGGGACTGTCGACGTAATTACAAAAGTGCCCAGGGCCGAGTCACATCAGTACACTTTAAATATATCTTTTATCTTAACTTTTAACACTGATTTTAGTCTTCAATAGCCTCTACGTGCAATTGAATTGTGAATAAATGCAGCGGAGACAATGAAAGAAATAGAGAAAACAAAAAATGAAGATTTGTTGCTCATTGTTAGCCCAATAATAACTTTGTGAATCGGTCATTTAGCGCTTTAGATTGAAGGTCAAGCGTGAACTTAGGACCACAGTCCCTTTAAATCCGAATAATTTGACACAGCTTTTCATTGCCCTGCTGAAGAGTCTGTAAGCTACAAGGTTATCAAACACAAACAATACACGAGGAGCAAAACATCTTGGTTGATCACTTGGTGAAATCTCTAGTTCAATTAACCAGCTGGGATTTTGTTTTCTTCGTAAAACAAGTTTAAAAATTCTATTAATCAAAACAGATTTATGTTAAATATATTTATATATAGATATTTTATAAAAATTCGAGTTATGAATTATATATGATATGTTAATAAACGTTCCTATCTGTTTAAAGTTAATGTTAAACAAATTTGTTTTTTAAAAAAGTTTTCTAAATTATTACTGGTAAGAAATGCAATCCAATGAATTAATAATTTCCCACTCTAACATATCTGTTAAAAAAGTCGATTGAAATCGAATTAACTTTTAGTTTTGCTTCTACTCCTCTATTTTCCCCGAACACATTCTTTAAAAAACTGAATCTTTACATCTAGAGGAGACATAATGTAGAAAAAGGAGTTGTAAGGGAGAGAGATAGAGAGTTTATAGATCAGATGGGAACTTTTGAATGGGATATCCTTAATCCTGATCAGATAATTAATCTGGAGATTAAAAATGAGTGGAGAACAAGCAATATTTAATCTGCAGATTAAGAAAAAGAGTGGATTAAGCCTTAATCCTCTCTTTTTGATAATCTCAAGATTAACATAATCTTGCAAGATTATCTTAAAAGTGTATGAAAAACGATAAAATTCAAATTTATATTTAATCATCTGAGTAACTGTAGCAGCCAATCAGAGAAAAGCAGGCAACCAATGAGAGAACAGAAATATTCTCATTGGAGAAAACAATTTACGGATATCCAAGGAGAGAGAAAAAGAGTGGATTAGGACTAAAATGAAAAGTTTCCACAGTGGATATTCGGATCAAGAAGTCAGGATAAAAGTTTATCCATTCTAAAGTTCCCAGCTCAGATTGGACATTTAACGAAAGTTTTTTTGTCACTAGGTGTCATTGGAGTCTCTTCCACGTGCAACTCCAGAAGCATCGAGAGCAGAGACACTTAGCGGCCAAAGAATCGTCCTTTAAAGTATATTGTATATGAAATAAATAAAAAAATATTATGAAATATCAACTATATACGAATGCGTTGAATAAAGTTCGATGATTTTAGGTTGTAATATCTGAATGGTTTGTTTGGAATAAAATTGATTTTTTACAATCCGAGTTGAATATTGCAACTTTCTGAATTCGTATATGGACACTACGTTCTTTGGCATGAGTCGTTTTAAACAATTTTCTCCTTATAGACGCAACAGATAGAAGTAAGATTAGTAGCAATCAATTCACCAATAAACATCGAATATTTTTCGACGTAAGCCTATACCCCCTTTAATTTTTCGCGAACACTCCCTTTAATGGTTTTGTTTCCCACAATACCATGCAAGTATGTGTTTATTCTAGAATTCAACTATGAACAGCAGTAATGAACTCATTTCAACTAATTATGATTCTGTTAATGAAATCTGCAGAGGACTTGTTAACATTTAATTTTCTAAGTGATGCTTTCCAAAAATTAGCAATGTAATTCAATGAACTAAGTTTCCTGGCACAAAAACACTAATTTCTGCACTAAAGTGTTCTTCATGTGTAAACACGATTGGTACAAAGCAGTTTGGAATAGATAAAGAATAGACAGGGTTAGATTCAGACCGGGGGGGGGGGGAGGGGGTACTCCCCACTGTGCAAAAATACGATTCTATAGCTAGGTTTTCTAGAGTAAGTTTCTGTACCAGGTTTCTAGAAGAAGCTTCTTGAATATATTTATAAATAGGTTTCTAGAATAGGTATCTAGAAAAGTTTTCTAGAACAATTTTCTAGAACAAATTTAAAGCGTAGGTTTGTAGGAAAGGTTTATAAAATAAACTTCTAGAAGAAATTTCTAGATTAGGTTTCCTGAATAGAATTCTATCGTATGTTAAAGAAGGTTCTAAAATAGGTTTCAAGAATAGTTTTCTAGAAAAAGTTTCTAAAATAGGTTTTTAGAGTAGGTTTCTTAAAAAGGTTTCAAAATTAGGGTTAGAATAAGTATCTAGAAGAAATTTCTGGAATAAGTTTCTAGAAAAAGTTTCTAGAATAGGCTTCTAGAAGAGGTTTTTAGAAGAAGTTTCTAGAAGAAGTTTCTAAAATAGGTTTCTAGAATAGGTTTATAAAATAGGTTTTTAGAAAATGTTTCTAGAAGAAATTTCTAGAACAAGTTTCTAGAATTAGTTTCTAGAAGAAGTTTCCAGAAGAAGTTTCTAGAAGAAGTTTCTAGAATAGGTTTCTAGAATAAGTTTCTAGAATAGGTTTCTAGAATAAGTTTTTAGAAGAAAATTCAGAATAAGTTTCTAGTATAGGTTTCTAGAATAAGTTTCTAGTATAGGTTTCTAGAATAAGTTTCTAGTATAGGTTTCTAGAATAGGTTTCTAGAATAAGTTTTTAGAAAAAAAATCAGAATAAGTTTCTAGTATAGGTTTCTAGAAAGAGAAAAATACTGGTTAAATGTTCGTAATATAATATTTGTGATTGGGCAGCACTATTCCTAGGCTTTTATCTTATATATGTATGCAAACATACTTGTCAAAAAGGAAAATCAAACAAAAATTATTTAAATAATATTTTTTAACATTTATTGCTTTTTAAATTTTAATTCTTAAAACTATTCTTGTCATCATGTTTTCATCCTTTATTCTTTATTTTATTCTTTTGTCGACTGTCCCTTCTGCCAATTTGAAAAAAAAATTTCTTACAAAACCCTGTTGAACAGCCTGGATTTACTGTACAGGTCATAACTGCTCGGGGAATTCAACTTTTGCTTATTTTGAAACAAGAAAAAAGCGATGGAACTTAAGAGACAATTATTTTTTTTGCAAAAAATAAATTAGTTTCGTTCTTTGGTGAGGTGTTTCTGAAGTTAAAAAATACAAAAGTATAATAAACCAATTCCAATGCGTTCTTTGTCCAATTTTAGAGGGGTCTCTGTGAGTAATAAATACAAACTCGTTAAACAATAAACAATCTTTCATTTTTATATTCCTCTTTAGTTTCTATAAGAGTTAGGAATAGAAGTTTTCTATATAAGCAGTGAAAGCAAAAAGCACGTTAAAGGAGGGAACCCCGCCCCTCCCCACCCCCCACCCATTCATGCAGTAACTGGTCACAAGAGTCAGCGCTACGGACGGGCTTCGTTATCAGGTGTCCGTCTTTAAACATTCAAAGGAACTGAGTTTTTGCCGCAAAGTCAAATGTTCTAATCCCTTTATCTCTGCGACCGGAAGGTGTACCCCTTTGATATTTCAAACTTTTATTATTTGATTTAACATATTCCATAGTTTGAAATATCTAAGGTCTATGACATTGTATCTTTTTGATATAGGGATTAGAAAATCAGAGTTTGTGGAAAAGTCTCAAATCCTTTGACATTGATTGACAAATCTGAGATGTTTATTATATTGCAAACCCCGATTTTCATCAACTTTGCTATTTATTCTAAACGTTTTTGTCATCAATTCGGGCAGCATAAATGTTGTTTACATAAAACAAATCAAATTATAATTTGAGATTTTGGTTTAAAGAAGACAGACAAATTTTGAATTTTAACTGTTACTGCCATTTTTCCAATAAACAAAAATTTTCAAGAAACAAAAATTTTCGAGAATTATTTGTTTAACTTGAATGATTTTCAAAAATCGTAAAAAATCGTTTAACTGACTCTTATTTAGATATAAACAAATAAGCCAAATAAATTTAAAGTATTCGAATTTTTGTATGTACTTGGCATTTTCATGTACAATATAGTGTTTTGCATCGCTATATAACCCAGTATATGAAAATATGTGTTATGAACCATATTTTTTGTACATGTCGATGTTTTTGTAAAGATACAATGGTTGCTTTGATATTCTAATTTCATTTTCTGTTTTAAAGAAATTAAGTTTTTTGTCACAAACTCTGGTTTTCTTATCTCTATATCCCTTAATCCAATCATAACAAACTTTAGGTATTTCAAACTGTTAGTCAAAGAGTCTAAGTTAGAGATATGAAAGGTTTACACTATTATTCTGTAAAGATAGGGACTCAAACATTTGAGTTTGTGACAAAGACTCAGTTCATTTACACAAAAATATAGACCTCAAAATGGAAAACCTTGAGGCAACGTTTTTACACGAACATCCATATTGTACATTCAGTGCTATATTATTGTACGCTAGAAATAGAATATTCATATATAGAACTAGATTCTGTATAATAATACCATTGATGCAGCTAATAGTCAGTAGTATCATACAGGGTCGGATACTATAGATAAGAGATAAATACCTAGGCTGGAAAATATAAAAATATTTTTGAAAAATATAATACCTAGTGTANGAAAGTAAAAAGAAAGAAAAAAACTTATTATAATAAATGATTTTACGTAAAATACGCAGAAGATACGTTTTAAAATAAACCTATCCCCTCAATTATTTGGCGTAATTTAATTTTATTTTTATATTTAAAATGTATGTAAACAATTTAGAATTAAACAAGAAATAAGTGTTTGAGTGTTGAAAAAACAGCACCAGGAAAACTAAGAGAAAAACAGGATTGTATGAGCTTAAATGCTTCTTAGAACTAGTAAAGACAAAAATGAATGTTTAAAAGTAACGGCTGGCATGCTTTTAATCTACAAATGAAAAATCATCATGATTCGTAGCATCTAAAAGATTATTTGCAGCAAGGATTTAATGCAAGGAAAGTTATTTCAGAGGTGTACGCATCTTTTGTACTGCAGTGTACTGTCACTGGGCATGGGATCCATCTATCACATAAATAATCAATGAAATATTCTGGTCATAGGAAACTATTATGTGAATTATCAAAATTATCAAAATTCAACCTCCTCGGATATTAAACGAACACTGATGCATCTATTCTTGTTTACAAATTCTGCCCAGAGAGAACTGGTTCCAATATGTAAGCAGAGTATATGCAACTACAATTAACTTTCCTTGCATTAAATTCTCGATTTGCAGTACCAATCAACAAAATGATGTTCTTAATGGGACATGTAGACATTTTTTAATTTGTCCATTTAAAGAGTGATAAGTCGGGTAAAGTTCAATTCCTTTATCTAAATGAGAATAAGAAATCTATATTCATTTATATCTATCCGAAATCGGTTTCTCTGTTGCATGTCAGTTTTACATCAGAAAAACATGGATTTCTCATTCACCTTTGATGAATTCAGCAAAGGTTTAAAAGGTACAAAAGAATTGTGCATTTAGGCTTA